CCATAAAAATAGAGACACAGTCTCACTATGTTGCCCAGGCTGGTCTCAAACTCCTGGACTCAAGTAATCCTCCCACCTCCCAAAGTGTTTGGATTATAGGCATGAGCCACTGTACCTAGCCAACTTTCAAATTCTAAAAGGAAAAAATACTCTCAACCCCAGTGTGAATTGAAACTTGAGTTTGCAACTGGTTTTTGTTGCTTCTCTTATAGAGAAAAGATCATTTATTTCATTTATTATTTTTGTTATCAGAACAATTTCTATTTTTAAGAATAGGAAAAGACAAATTACTTTGCCAGCAAAAACCAGAATTAGTAATATCTTTTCAGAGACCTGTGTCTGTGAGTTAAAAAAAAAAAATTACAAAGAGAAATTACCAGCTTCATTATTACAAAATAATACTAGCCTAAACTCTTCAGCCCCCATATTTATCAACTTTCAAAGTATAAACATTAGAACCGAGGGGGAAATCTGAACAATATAGAAGATATGCTTAAAAAAAGATAAATCTAAAGGGCAAGGAATGTCATCAAATCAGTCCCTCTGATTGTCTCATATAGTATCCATAGAACAGTGAAATCCAGCCAGCTATTTAGGATTCAGTGGTGTTAGGTGCTTTGCAAATAGCCTAGCAATATGTTTGATAAATTTAGAGGGAAATACATAAATCTCTGTGTTCCATCTTAATTGCAATTAAACAAATCACTGATAACAAATTGCTATATTGTTTAAAACTACATTAATCTTGGATTGAAAGTTTACAAGCAGTGCATTTTGAAAATTTAGAGAAACATCATAACACACTAAATTCCAATTTGTGCCAAGTTGTAGTCATGTTTAAAACTGAGGGGAAAGAGCAGTATAAACCCCCCAATAATTACATAATTACATTAGCAGCTCCTCAAACACAGGTTAGGTAACATAGCCCTGCAGATTGAACATAAGACAGAATATCATTACTGGCTGTGCTGCTGCCAAGGCATTGTTTAACTATGGCAGTGCATTAGCTCTTGTTAAACTTTGATACCCTTAGCAATAAATGAAGTTGTCTGTGAATTTTTTTTTAAGATGGACAGAAAGGATAAATACAACTTTAGGAACGTACTTGCCGATGGGAAGGGGTGAAGAATAGGTCTAGGAGCTATGGAGATATCATCTTTATCTGTAATATTTCATTTCTTCTGTATGAAGAAAGATGAAGCAAATAACAAAATGTTTAACATT